CAATAAAGCATTTAGCAATGTTTGTGTTGATTAAACCCTAATAAATAAGAAAATAATAAAAAGAAATTAGTATATAAACACACAAAATGATTATTTTAGTTTAATAATGTCTATTTTATAATTATAATCTCAAAAAAGAATGAATAGAAAAGTATTTTATAGTAGGAAGTAGAAAACTGCTTGGCGATTAGGCGAGGCGAGCCTCAAAGGGCGCCTTGTCGCCTAGGCTTGGTCGGTGATTTTTCTAAATATCATGCCATATATATTGCTTATTTAAGCTAGTGGTTGTGAGAGATTAGGATTTGAGGAAGAGTAAGGAAGAGAGAATGTGAGAGTGAAGCCATGTATCTCTTGTTCTCATAGCGGATATTTTTCCTCTCCTCCCGTGGATGTAGGCTGTAAGCCAAACCACGTTAAATCTTGGTGTTCTCTATCTATTTCTTCTTTTTTTCTCCTTGATGTGCTATTCTATTTTAGGTTAGTTGACATGGTATCAGAGTATTTCATGTTGTTTAACAGATGGCTATACTTGTTCCATAGCATAGAAAAACTGGACTAAAGAGAGGTAACAAAGATACCTGAGATGGATTTGCATTGCCCCAGTCAACAGCAAACTTTATAGACCGGCACAGGTCAATATCTGAAACAGGCCAATAATTTTCTTTTGGCACAAGACCACGACTGAAGAAATCTTCGTACTGTGGAGATATTATAAGTGAAAGAGAACCACATGATAGAATATATTTTAAGCTCACTGACCAAGCATAGCCTTCGGCATAGATTTTATATCTGCAGGAACATATAAATAATCATTTTTAATAGGACAAGTAACACACTTCCAGTTGAAAAATCACATGGCATGATATTTAGAATAAAATGAGGATTGATATTGTATGTATGTATATATGGCAAGCCCAGCAAGGAAATTCCAACATCCAAGCTTAACCATCAAACTCATGGAAATTTTTGTGGACATTATTCATATATTTCCACCCTCCCAAAAAAAAAAGATCAAAACGATGGCTACTACATTCAATTCAGACTGTTTTCAGTACACTGTAAACTAGGGCTTCAATAGACTCCAAAAGTCTGTTACCCGGTTCAACTCCAAATCAGATTATCCCAGATTTTGATGCTAGAACTTATATACAGTTAATAATTGGATTGGATGCAGATTTAACCCCATCCAATTCAATTAAAATATGAGTTCGATAAAAAATTATTATTTTATGTATATGTGTAGTATAATTACGTATACATATAGATATTATGTATTATATAAAGTTTATAATTGATAATTTTAATATTTTATATTTATATACATTTATACATATATACTTTAAAAAGCAATTAGTTTTTTTTTACTTTTTTAACCTTTTTGGTCATTTTAAACACAATAAGATGGTTGTGGATTAAATCTGAATCCAATCCAAAATCCAACATGATAATCAGATGTGGATGTGGATGCAAATGCAATTGGATCCAATCCGAATCCGACCCATTTACAGCCCTACTGTAAATAGGGCTTGTTGATTATCTGTCCACATTGATGAACATACGGAGAATATGCATATGTGAAAATCAAAATAAAATGGTTTCAATACAATGTGGCATTAAAATGATAATTTACCGATGATTACACTGTTTTGATAGTTTGGACTGTTCAAAACCACCTTTTGCTTCTTCAAACCAATTCTGCAAAGTATGGTAAAACACATGTGTAAAAAATATTATACTTCATTCAATTTCAGGCCATATTTATCAATAATATAGTAAAAACTACAGCATGTTTGGGTAAAGCAATGTCCATAATGATATAGAATTCAACCTGACGCAGAATCTCGGCTCCCCACTTCCTAGAATCATTACAATTCAGTAATTCTGTACGGATAGGAGATTGAACATCCGGATTCCCTTTCCAGTATGCACGAGGCCACTTCCTTCTCCAAATTACATCTTGGGAACCTTGCTTGATGCTTTTAAATTCCTCAACCCAGGGTCTTATATTTACCTCAGGCCTGTATGATGATAAGTTCATAAGTTCATATATGACAACCATGTTTAATGGCATACCAAAGAAAGTTCAGATCTTGACTGCCAAAATGTGATGAGCACTTCCTTGCAAGCTATAACCTATACATGACCTCAAAATATAAAGAGATGCTAAATTGCAGCAATAATATGTGTTCTTGTGTGTATGACATAATTAACTTGTATAGAAAATCAGGTCTTATCCTTCTTAGGTGTAAGTGCTGTTCTAATAATTTCATGGTTTAAAGTATGTATCGGCAGGGGTGTATCACTACTTTTTACCCCACAGCCCACACCTTTTATTTTTTTAGTTTTCTTTTCAAATTTTCATTTTTATATATGTTTTTATATTAATAAATAAATAATTGGTTTCCTGAAAACACCTTTAAACAGGTGTTTCGGAAACCCAACGATACGGGGTGTATTGTATCAATGTATCAATACTTTAAACCTTGAATAATTTATTTAATTACTTATTTTCTGCAGTTATGTTCATGCATGCTGAATTAATTCACTCCCATAGGACATGTTCATGCGCACAAGACCTGGTTTCACATTTACAATAGTGGATATAAGTATTGGGAATCAGCCCAACAAAACAAAATAAGTGCTGATCCTACAGAGGTCCCTACACTAAACAAGTGGGGCAGTAACCTCTGAAGACTTCTCTGGAGTGACAGCCCAAGTGAGATTTTTCCTGACTCCTCGGCAGGATTTTGATAGAAATCATAGAGATTGTTGGACCGTTTATGTTGGTTTTGACTCTAGCCACCAGTCTAGTCTTCCCAGTTATTTGTTTGGGATCCCATATAGTGGGCATCTGGAAGCCACGTTCAGTGAAAAAAGAATTGTTTTATTTTTAGTGCTAATACAAAAATTCACCAAAAAAATCGACAACCATCAACAAATAAATAAAAATTGACAAGCCAGAAAAACAGAATTGTAATAAAAATTATAAATGGGTTCCTTGTTTGAAATTTTGAAGCTATAGGCCCTGTTATAATTCCATGTTAAAAATATAGAAAAGTTCATACTTTTAGTTGCTAAGGACAATTAAATGAAATGATTCATTCCAACTAGTATTTCGAATTTAAGATGCATGCCATAAAGGAATTGTGTACTCATGATGCATTAAAAAGTTAAAAACATACCTTTAATGTTAAATAATGACAATCAAAGCTAAATTTCAAATTCAAGTTCTTTTTTTATTGCTACCAATTTCATATTTGAATGCCCAAGTAGGTAGAATCATGGAGCAATAGATATGTCCAGCAAAGAAAAAAAGTATTTGAGAGAGGTTGTTATTCTTACCAACCCCAGAAAGACCAGTCGGGAAATGGGATGTCCAAGTGACCACTGGTGGTGCAATACCGGAACAATGGCGGTGGCGGACCCTTAGTCCCTAACTCATACTCTGTCTTATTAACAACAGGCTTGTCCATGCAATCAAACATGAGATCAACATCGGGTACCAACCCCGGGTACCTCTTAAGAAGCTGCAAGAAACCCCAAATGGTGAACATCGCGCGGCTCTGAACGCAATCGTAATAAAAATCCACATAGAGTCTACCCCCAACAATCACAACTCGGAATGCAGCTAATTGCCGGGCCTCCATCAAAGTGGAGAAAGATATCCGAGACCGAGACCAGGGCTCAAGATCATGATGGATCCAATGGAAAAAGGACGGACAGGTAGAAGTTGGAGAAGAAGATCGAGATGGACCTTGCTCTACCGCATAGGAGCTGCGGCGAAGACATGTGAGGTAAGAACATTGTATGATTTTGGAAGCCCGGGCGTATCTGGGTCCCTCGTTTACGTCTTTGGGAGGGAAGAGATGCCATGGCGTGGGTTCTAAGTTGTGACCCACGACGGTTTTAGTCCTGAAAATGAAGTCGTCCACCTGCTCGACAGGTTGCCCAGATGAAGAAAATCAAACATATCTAGAGAGAGAGAGAGAGTCAAAAACACAATGCACACAAACAAAAAACAGAACCTTAAATAGGACGACGACTGCGAGAGAGAAGAGAGCCAAGATAGAGATGTATGGAAAGATGGAGCGGGGAATGCAGGCTTTGGTTGTGTGATTCCTCGACGACACGCCCATTCCTTCCCGGCGATTTCCGATGCCTTTTGCGACATTATCTTGCCCGTGGATTAGTAATAGTATCTCTCTCTCTCTCTCCTTTCTCTTGTCTCCACCCCTGTCGATCGGTGTCCTGTTCAGTCCCCACAATTTCCCGTAAGCACGTGGTGAAAACCGTAAGCCTTTTTATTTGGGTTGTAGCAAGCAGAGCAGCAGATTTTTTGGCAGGTGAGTGAATGTAGAAAGGAAACAAAGCTTTTTACAGCATGTCACGACACGTTGCGCTCATGTGACGATCATGAATCAAACTGCGCTTTGGTGGCGAGAGTGGAACCGTGGACGGTCCTGATCTGCTACTGCCTACAAGACGCTACCCATACTCTACCTCCAGATGTTTCCGAGAAGCGGCTGTAGCCTGTAGGGTCTTCTAGTCCAACGGGCCTTGTACTGACTCAAGCCGATTTCCTTGCATTGAAAATATCTCCATATTTGAGTGTTTTATTTTATAAAGAAATATTTTTAATATAAAGTCGCAAAAAACTGTTAGAATGGTATGGACAATAGATTTTGCCTTGATAGAAACCGATCTCCTTCTAGGTTAGGGTGTGAGTAGCGTCTTTGTTAGTAGCAAATATGAGCGGGGGGTATATGCAGATGCATTCATGGTTCAGCTGGCATATCGTTGAACGATGGGAGTTGGGAGAGGAGTAGCTTAGGGATCTACAAAAAGCAGCACGATATCAACAAATATTTAATGCCTTTTACCCCCTTTTTCCTCTTTTAATGCGTAAAAGTACTTCCCTGTTAATTTGTTTTTACTTTCCAACCACCGGGAGGCCGGGGCCCGGGGTCCTATTTCCTTTAATGCATTGTCCTGCAACCCCGGCTCCATGCTTTATGTCTCTGGTTAGTAATTGGCCGATTAAGTCCCCATTTGTAAGTGTTTATTGGGTAAATAAGTGCTGGCCTGCTGGGCCCCTACTAACTTATTCTTGGCCATTAGAAGTATGTACGCAGCCTTACCTTTACACAAGCATATATAGAGCATCATATGTTTTCAATATTCAAATCCTAATCAGAGCAATCTAACCATTACGCCAAGGCTCACCTTCGAAAATGAGATAGGATGTGAAAGTCAAATTTGATGTTGTTCGACCCGAGGTGGAATGATGAAACCGGACACTAGGACCTATAATCAGGAGAAATGTCAGAGGCCTGAGGAATTATTCCTCGAGTAGGTACTCCGATACTCAAGTCAGTTGAATAGAGAAAGAGGTAATTGGGTCGAGCAGGTTAGAATAATGTTGGTCTGAACCGAATAGATAGTACAGAGATATTATGAGAGTGTGTTCTTCCAAAAAGTCCCTTACCTCAAGCGGGGAATACCTATTATAGTTGGGTGTTCATGTCCTACATGGATAAGGCTTCTGGGGTTGTTGAGATGAGATCATTCGTCGAAGTCTTCAGGAGATTTCCCTTTCCCCGACAAAATTAACTTCCTTGTCCGTGTAGGACACTCCTTAGTCGTGCTATTCCGTTACATATGGTGTTGACATGGCTAAAGAGAGGACAGCCGCGGAGGCTACCACATGGCATCCCTAGCCAACTTAGCCATCATTCGAACAAAATCCAACGTTTTCAAACTATCGCTGACCCAGATAGTTGGATCATTTGGATTGGAAATTGTCTAGGCACCGGTTTCATTTTACCCCAAACCCAGTCCCTACCCAAAAATCATTGAATTGGTCAATGAACTGTTGACTCGAATGGTTTGACCGCTAAACCATTGGACCTGGACAATGGTTCTCATTTTATTATTTATGAAAAAACATGAATGAAAAACTTCATATCTCTCGAATATGAGATATAATAGAGAGAGAGAGAGAGAGAGATCAATTGAAAGATATGTGTGTGAGAGAGATCTTAGAGATCTAGGAGAGCAATTCATATGAGAGATCTATGAGAGAGTGTGTGAGATATGAGAGAAATCTCATATCTACTTTCATCACCGTCTCGTTGTTGCCGCTATGGTTGGTCATCGTTGTCACTACTATTGCAAGTGACCTCCTCCTCTTCCTCCTTATTCTTCTACTCAATCTTCTTTCTCTTCTGAACTCTCTGAGGCAATAGCTTATCATTCTTCAACCTTATTTCTCATGATATTTATATGCATCTTACTCTAATATTTCAATCTAATGGGTAACATGACATATCACCCTTTAAAGTGTTTTAATTGTTTTAACCATTTGACCAAAATGGTCGAACTGCTGACCCAGAAGTCGGTGGCCAAAACGGTTATGTTTATGGGTCAGTTTTTAAAACCTTGGTAAAATCAATTATGGTTTTCAATCAAAACTGGATCGAATTGGATGGTCCGACCCAAAAACCAAGAATTAGTTAGGTAATTGGTCCTATTCCACCCTAAAATTGCTTTTTGTCCAAAAACCCTTGATTTGGTCAGCAATTTGCTGACCCAGGCAATCGAACCATCAATCCAAACCGATTTTTTGCCATTTTTTATTTTTTAAATCAGAACGGGCCATCCATTTGAACTAGACAATCAGACTATTCGACCCAATAACCAGTCCCTAGAACGATTCCCTGTCCAATCCAGTTTTAAAAACCTTGAAACCAATAATTATGCTTCACACCAGACCCACAACCATTAAACCTCTCACTATGTGCCCTATATATTAATTTCCTCTTGCTATGATCTATTTGTCTCCGGCTCTCGGCTTAAAATCTCTCCACCCCCACTAAATTTCACTACTGTAAAATACATCTTCCTGCTGCCTCTTAGAATCGGTTGGTTTGATTGCATAGATAGAAGTATTTATGTTTTTGTTGTACCTTCCCCTCATTCATCACATCCATGTCCATGTGCAAGTGAACAACAACTGATAAACTAGGAAAGAGAGAAGTTTTTTAGCTGTTATTTTTTATTTTTTTTATTGTCCAAATAAAGCTTACCTATTGAAAGATATTGAGCTTGTTAGATGTTAATCAAGGAGCTTTTTGCTGTGAAGCTTATTGAGAGAGGGCATAAGGTAGGGTATCTCCTCCATCTACATCAAATTTATTTCCCGGGTTTCTAAATTTGAGTTTCTTTCATTATTTCTTTCTTTTCTAGTTGCATCTTTTTTTTTTTCTTATGGCTGCAACTTGGGTTGGGTTAGCCTGGAAAAGTTGTGTTGGGTCAAGTCAAGTTGAAGTTCAAGTTAGGGTTAGGGTTGAAAAGTATATATGAACCAAACTTAAAATAAGGTCAGGTTAGGGTTGAGGCCTTGGCCCGCCAGAACCCAATTTAGCTTTATAATTATATATAAATATTATGTAAACATTTATTTAAGTAATTATATATATTGCATGTATGTATACATGTTATATGTATGTGAGTGTATGCATATATGTATACCAACAATGAGTGTAGTAGAGTCCCCAAAGCTTTTTAATTAAAGGCTATTTTTTGATAATTTATATATGTATATATATGTTTGTGTATATATATAAAGGTCAAGGAAGGGTTGGGACTTCACTCCCCATCCCCATCACTTCCCTGATCAAGTGCCCCTATTAATCATTGTCTTCATTTTTTTTGTTTATGGTATTTTATTTATAGATATAAATTTGAAAAATGTTTTTTTTTTTTGTTTAAACTCAAATGCCAGATGACCGAAATATCAGGAAGAGAGAGTATTTTATATTTATAATATTGTTCATTTTAAATCTGAAGTTGGATGACCAGAAACATCGGACTCAAAGAGAAAGTAGAGAGACTATATAAAAACTCTGCGAACATAGCATCCATCTAAACATTGGGAACATCTCCTATAGGTACATGGGGAGATGTTTACAATGTGCAACCAGATGTCTATGCTTTCAAAGTGTATGTAGAGTTTTTGCCTCCAAGGGATCCCATTGTGAGCCTAGTTTTCTATGTTGTCTTCTTTTAGGCTATGTTTGGTTTGAAGGAAAAAGTAGGGAAAGGTAAGGAAGCCTTTACAAATCTTGTATAGGTTTCCCTTCCTTTCCTTACTTTTTTCTTTCAAACCAAACATAGCCTTAATGATCCTTACACATTTCCTATAAGAACCTCATATTTCTCTTGAGGGGGGGGNGGGGGTTCATCAAGCATGTGTATTCAAGGATCAAAATTTTGCCACGTATCGGTGACCCATGTGCTGTAAGTAGAACCTAAAACTGATTATAAGCTAAAAACATGTTTTATGGTTGAGAGGTCTTGCAAAAACTTTGAACAAAACTTGGGGCTAAGTATCACAAGTTACCCCATTTTTTTCTGAAGGGGGAATAAGCTGCATATTGGATCATTAACTTTGATTAGCTGAACACGGTGGCTGTGTAGCAGGCTGTGGAATCAATGATCACGCCAGCCATAAATGCTAAGTGAGAGATTGAATGGTTGTAGGACTGGCGTGGAGCATTGTCATTGGTTCCAGTCCATAGACCACTAAAATAGCAGTTAATTCAGCTAATCCTATCTCTTGGATCATTGAGCTCTGATTGAAGGATTTAGTGATGGAAAAAGTTCACTGGCCCATGCCAATGCTCCAACCTAGAAATGCCAAATCCTAATCCAGCATTTAAGAGAAAAGTGTTGGCGAGGCTCAACTTTACCCCAACAGAAAATTGATGAACTATGACAATAGTGAAAACTCAACCCCAAGTCATGTGTCAAAAAAAGCCAGATTACAAGATGTAATGTGATCTCCTGCAAGCAAAAACTCTGCACACATTATGAAAGCACTGACATCCAGCTGCACATTGAGAACATCTCTCTATGAAATTAACATACATGTATGGGAGAAATCCCCAATGTGTGGCTGGATGCTGTATGTGCCGATTTTTGCTTGCAGCAGATCCGAGCTTGGTCAAGACGGAGCCACTGCATCCCAATTCCACTTTTTATCATTGACCAAAATAAAGCAGTTAAATAGATGAACTGTCAGACCAACCACCAACAGGTGCCTGGTACTACTCCATGAAATCCCCAAGAATGGCATGCATCAATCCTACCAGGGACCTTTGACAAAGCACTGCAAAACCCAGAAAGCAGCAGAGGTGATCATGGGCTTGGCTTGGCTTTGGGCCTAAATCACTAGGTAAGTTTTGTATACTATTATGTGTCATTTTATAATGTTTATATAAAAAAAGGCAGCCCAAAGGCTCCTACCAATGTGGGGTCTGAGAAGGGACAGATGTACGCAGCCTTACCCCTTCCAAGAATTGAACCCTGGTCAACCAAGTCACAATGGAGCAACCCAACCATTGGGCCAAGGCCGACCACCCTCAAATATAATATGATATAGAAAATGTACATATAAGTAATAATTTATTGTGAGCCAGGTGGAGCCTGAACACCAAAACCTAGGCCCATGCCTGGAAATTTCCAGGCTGAAATGTTCACCCATAGGAAGCAGGGGACAAATGGGAGGGTGCTTCTACAGTAAGAACTAAGAGGTATGCATTTTTTTTTGGGAGGGGGAGGGGGGCATAGAACTGGGAAAGTATGTGGACCAACTAGCAACTAGGACATATGCCCTCGCTAGATCACAGTCACAGACCTTCTCATGAGAGGCGAGTGTGCATTCTAGTTTTAGATTACAAGTGTTATGTTTAAACCTGCATAATCATTAACTGAAGGATGATAAAAGCAAAATAATTTTGCTTCAGGTAAGACTAGATCAATATCAATTTCTACACTTACAATGCATTTAAACCAAATTCCTAAATACAGTCATATTAATACATGGTGGAAAGTGGAAATCCTAAAAAATAAAAACAAAACAAAACTTTGGGTTAACTGTTCCATTTCTGAAATGGTGCTCCATAGCTTCATCCATTCTTTCTCTTCTCCCTGTTATAATGCCACCTGAAATCGCAAGGGAAAAAACTATGCAGCTATTTTAGGTGGAGATGGGTCGCCTTGGCTCCTGGTTTTTTTTTTTTATGGTCACTTGAAGAAGACCATCTCCCGTTTTGTTGATGGATTAAGGTAGCAGTGGGTAGTCAAGCAGGAGTTCCCAGCGACCAGCAGAGATTGGAACTGCTCTACCTGCCACACCTTCCTAACAAGGGCATCTGCCTTCTCAAACTGTGAATATTTTCTTCACCTTCTTCATTTTCCTACGACAAATAGGACAAATGCCAGCCTCCTCTGCAATCCTGCATGTTAATTTTAGATTCAGATGTTCATGATCTTTTAATCATCCTGGTTTCTCCTTGAATATGGATTAATGGTGGGAAAACAGGGTTCAGGAATGAATTTGGCTCAAGTAAAATTCTCATGAATTGATTGACTGCAGACTTGGTCAACTCAGGTAATGCAGGTATAATATTTTGAGGTTATTAAAATAAATTGAGGCACTTTAACCCCAGAGCCTGAACAATTTTCAGTTAACTCAACTAAGCCTTGTTCCCAACTGAATAATTCTCAGTTCTATTTTTCTAAAAGTTTACAGACAAGTATTCATGAAAATGCTAGTAATAAAAAGGTAAATTGTCGGTTTAATATATTTAATAGTAAAACTCATCTCACAAGAAAAATGTATAGGAAAGAAATGCCCCAATCCCAGACTAATTTTCACTTCTCAACTCAACTAAGCTTTGTCCCAACTGAATAATTTTTCAGTACTGTTTTTCTAAATGTTTCAGAGAAGTATTCATGACTTGTGTGCTAGTAATAAAAAGTAAATTGCTAGTTTAATAGATCTTGACAGTGTAGCCGGCCAGAGATAAGTGGAAGAGGAGAGGAGAGAAGAGAAGAGAAGAAGAGAAGAGAAGAGAGGAGAGAAGAGAGAAGGTTTGCAATGTAAC